CACACACACACACACACACACACACACACGCACCAACTCGCGTATTTTCCTGTTTCCCAACTTCACACCACATAACATATTATTTACTCTTAATATAGCGTAGATTCCCACTCAACAGCAAGCTATGCACTTGACAATCTACACTATCATATTAAAATTATTATCACCCCAGCAGACCTGATAGTATTCTGGAACAATCTATATGTCCAGGGAAGCATACAGCGCTAATAAGCTGGCCTTTTACAGGTGTTAAAACACTTAACATACTGACATGATCTTTCTCTGTCTATGATCGGGCACCTATTCACACCTTGGTGTAGTGAGGAAAATTCATACTACATGTATAATATATAGCATTCCTTTCCTGTTTGTTTCGCAAACCGTTTTGACATATAACGTTTTGTTTTGTAGGTAATATACCAACTACCAACAACTAACTTGAAGGAAAGAAGTGGGGCAGGAGAGCCAGAGGAAGGCAAAAAATAACACGGATGGACAACATAAGAACATGGACTGGCATGGATATGACAGCATGTACAATGGCAGCTCGCGACCGTGAAAGATAGAGGGTCATTACAGGTCAACCTCTGAGTCAGAGATGACACTCCCAGGTATTCAGATAGACACTAAAAAAACATATTTGTAGGTTATATACTAACATAGTTTCATCTCTCACTTTGACAAACATGGAAATGGGCTGGTCACAACAGTAGAGTGAAAGAAAACAGAAGGACAAAAAGATACAGTGAATTGAGACCAATAACAAGAAAACGATCAAGAGGAAGACGAAGAGGAAGAAGGTGGTAAGATGACGTCACAGAGCGGACGGGTACAACCTGGACACGAGAACAGCTGCGGAGATCAGTTTTTGTTTTGTTTGTTTTGTGTGTGTGTTGGTTTTTGTTTGTTTGTTTTTTGTTTGTTTGTTTGTTAGTTTGTTTCATTGCTTTGTTGTTTGATTGTTTGATAGATTGTTTGTTTGTTTGTTTAATGAATTGTTTGTTTGTTTTTGTTTGATTGTTTGTTTGTTTGTTTGTCTGGGGGGTTGGCGGCAGTGGGTTTCATCCTGCAGTAGACGGAGAACGCCTAGAAAGAAATAAAGGTTATTCTCTCTCAGTTCAAGAATAACAATGCCTTGCTGAGAGATACGACGTTTAGCCTCCAACCGTTGACCAAACAAATGACGTAAGTGGTGCAATCCTCTGATCTAAAACGATTGGTGGTCTGAACAG